CATAGAAATGTAGAGACATATAAGTCACTCTACTTGTCAGGATTGTTTTGTCGAAACGGCTTTGACCACCAACCATCTCTAGTGAAAGTCCAAACAAGAATCACTAGTTGTTTAAAAATCTTCTCACCTTAAATTTCTTATGAAACCTGACACTTTATATACAAAAAGAAGAAGAAAAATTTCGATCACATAACATGCAATTTGTTAAATCAACTCATAAAATGTAAGACTTATATAGACAACATTTTCCCAAAAAAAAATTACATAATTTCTTATCTTTATATTAATTGTATCCAAATTTGTAATTATACATTATTATAAACTTTATTAAGTTTATAATAAATAAATAGCAAATAATATATAATTTACAAAAGATTGGAAATTAATATGTTATAGTTTTCTATTGATGTTATTAAGTTTATAGTAAGTAAATAGCTAATAACTTTTTTTTACCATGGTAACATTTATTTTAGTAATAGCATTAAAATTTTGACCCAAAAAATGGCATTAACTATATTAAATATCAAATTAAATCATATTTTTATAAAAAGCTATATTGATTTCATTTGTTAATATTTACATATTGATTAAGATATAGTTATTTAATTATCCCAAAAAAGTTCTCTTGTTTTGAAATTAGTGAACTAAAGTTGGGTACAACACAACTGCAACGACCCTATAACACTTAGAACTAAATTCTGGGACAACACAACTGCAACAACTCTAACTCCTATAAACGACTTTGCCAATTGGCATTTGATAAAATGACCCACTTATTGAATCACGACATGATCCGGTGATCCAACCCATTGTTGTATCAAGGCTATAGTGATCATCATTGTGTTGTAGGTTGAGTTGGCTTTCAAGTGGTTGAATCCGTTATCAAATCGACTTAGTTTTAGTATCTTGTTAATGTTTATTCACATTTAATACAAATATATCAAATGCACATTTTTTTTTTCATCGAAAATGTGAAGTTTTATTGATTTTAAACTAGTGAGTGGTGGAGATGTAGCTGTTGAAGTAGTGTCATTTACCACTTGCGAAATACTATAAGAAGTGATATAGACAAAATGTATTGAGTTTAAGGTTAAGGCTACGTAGGCTTGAACACATAGGCTGGACCAAACTACTCAAGTGTCAAGGACGAGCCTAGGCGTGGAGTTGAGCTGGAGAAGTGCCTTGGAGAGGATTGAGCAGCATTTAAGATCTTCCTTATCTCTTGGCTAAGAAGAAGAAAAATGAGAATATTCTTGAAGATTTGAGATCATCAAGACTTTGAGATGAAAGCTAGGTTTAGCCAACTGATCCTATTGTGTATAAATAGGAGGTGTTAGGCTAGTAGGGCGCTTAACACAATTAGAGCTTCTTTCTTAGCAAAAGAATTTTTAAGTTATCTTGTAAGAGATCGAAATCAGAGGCTAAGAGATAGAGAGAAGTTTGAAGATTACGTATATGTAAATGTGTGAAACTAGATTAAAGTTAGTGAGTGAAACTTGTAAGTGCACTTAACGTTTGATTTATTAATACATTATTGAGAAAAGAACCCCATAATATTATGTTCGTTTCTTGTAGCATTAGCTTGTACATTTTCAAGTGGTTAACATATAAATATATAATAATATATACGTTAAAACAACATCGAACTAGAACATATATATTTGAACTAGAGATTTATATATTTATCTATGAGAACGTAAGGCAAATAAAATAGGCTTATTTAGTCATTTTTCTAAACAATGGGGTTTACTTTGAACATTTTCATTTTATTACTAGTAATAAAAAGGGTCAATTAGTTGTTTGACAAAGAAACGGAAGATAATCAGGTCAATGACAAAACCCAACATTATAACTTTTTACCGTGTGTCAGTGGGTAATATTACCTTTTAACC